GGTTTAAAAATGTAGTGTTAGAGTGTTCAGCAGAAGTTTGTGGTTACAGGAAAGTGGGTGCGGGAGGGAAGAGGAGCGATTGGTTGAATGCTGATGTAAAGAGAGTAGTAAGGGAGAAAAAGTTAGCATATGAGAAGTTTTTACAAAGTAGTAGTGATGCAAGGAGGGAAGAGTATATGGAGAAAAAGAGAGAGGTTAAGAGAGTGGTGAAGCAATGTAAAAAGAGAGCAAATGAGAGAGTGGGTGAGATGTTATCAACAAATTTTGTTGAAAAAAAGAAAAAGTTTTGGAGATTAACAAGTTGAGGAAGCCTAGAGAACAAATGGATTTGTCAGTTAAAAATAGAAGAGGATAGTTATTAAATGGAGAGTTAGAGGTATTGGGAAGATGGAGGGAATATTTTGAGGAATTGTTAAATGTTGATGAAGATAGGGAAGCTGTGATTTCGTGTATAGGGCAAGGAGGAATAACATCTTGTAGGAGTGAGGAAGAGCCAGTTGTGAGTGTGGGGGAAGTTCGTGAGGCAGTAGGTAAAATGAAAGGGGGTAAGGCAGCCGGGATTGATGGGATAAAGCTAGAAATGTTAAAAGCAGGTGGGGATACAGTTTTGGAGGGGTTGGTGCAATTATTTAATAAATGTATGGAAGAGGGTAAGGTACCTAGGGATTGGCAGAGAGCATGCATAGTTCATTTGTATAAAGGCAAAGGGGACAAAAGAGAGTGCAAAAATTATAAGGGGATAAGTCTGTTGAGTATACCTGGTAAAGTGTATGGTAGAGTTATTATTGAAAGAAATAAGAGTAAGACGGAAAATAGGATAGCAGATGAACAAGGAGGCTTTAGGAAAGGTAGGGGGTGTGTGGACCAGGTGTTTACAGTGAAACATATAAGTGAACAGTATTTAGATAAGGCTAAAGAGGTCTTTGTGGCATTTATGGATTTGAAAAAAGGCGTATGACAGGGTGGATAGGGGGGCAATGTGGCAGATATTGCAGGTGTATGGTGTAGGAGGTATGTTACTGAAAGCAGTGAAGAGTTTTTACGAGGATAGTGTGGCTCAAGTTAGAGTATGTAGGAAAGAGGGAAATTATTTCCCAGTAAAAGTAGGCCTTAGACAAGGATGTGTGATGTCACCGTGGTTGTTTAATATATTTATAGATGGGGTTGTAAGAGAAGTAAATGCGAGGGTCTTGGCAAGAGGCGTGGAGTTGAAAGATAAAGAATCACACATAAAGTGGGAGTTGTCACAGTTGCTCTTTGCTGATGACACTGTGCTCTTGGGAGATTCTGAAGAGAAGTTGCAGAGATTGGTGGATGAATTTGGTAGGGTATGCAAAAGAAGAAATTTAAAAGTGAATACAGGAAAGAGTAAGGTTATGAGGATAACAAAAAGATTAGGTGATGAAAGATTGGATATCAGATTGGAGGGAGAGAGTATGGAGGAGGTAAATGTATTCAGATATTTGGGAGTGGACGTGTCAGCCGATGGGTCTATGAAAGATGAGGTGAATCATAGAATTGATGAGGGGAAAAGGGTGAGTGGTGCACTTAGGAGTCTGTGGAGACAAAGAACTTTGTCTTTGGAGGCAAAGAGGGGAATGTATGAGAGTATAGTTTTACCAACGCTCTTATATGGGTGTGAAGCATGAGTGATGAATGTTGCAGCGAGGAGAAGGCTGGAGGCAGTGGAGATGTCATGTCTGAGGGCAATGTGTGGTGTGAATATAATGCAGAGAATTCGTAGTTTGGAAGTTAGGAGGAGGTGCGGGATTACCAAAATTGTTGTCCAGAGGGCTGAGGAAGGGTTGTTGAGGTGGTTCGGACATGTAGAGAGAATGGAGCGAAACAGAATGACTTCAAGAGTGTATCAGTCTGTAGTGGAAGGAAGGCGGGGTAGGGGTCGGCCTAAGAAAGGTTGGAGGGAGGGGGTAAAGGAGGTTTTGTGTGCGAGGGGCTTGGACTTCCAGCAGGCATGCGTGAGCGTGTTTGATAGGAGTGAATGGAGACAAATGGTTTTTAATACTTGACGTGCTGTTGGAGTGTGAGCAAAGTAACATTTATGAAGGGATTCAGGGAAACCGGCAGGCCGGATTTGAGTCCTGGAGATGGGAAGTACAGTGTCTGCACTCTGAAGGAGGGGTGTTAATGTTGCAGTTTAAAAACTGTAGTGTAAAGCACCCTTCTGGCAAGACAGTGATGGAGTGAATGATGGTGAAAGTTTTTCTTTTTCGGGCCACCCTGCCTTGGTGGGAATCGGCCAGTGTGATAATAATAATAAAAATAAAAATAATAATAATAATAATAATAATAAATTTACAGGAGGATCCCTAATTTTCTTTGCATATTTTTCAAGTCTCGATTTTGTGAGAGCTGTTTCTTCATATTCATAAAAACCAGTTTTCACACCAAGAAACTTTTTCACATAAAAAAAAACGTATGTTTACACTGAAAAACGTTTATTCTGAAAAAAAACGCTTATTCATAAGTAAAAATAAAACATTTGCTGAATTTTTTTTTTCATAAATCCGCAGGTACTGGGTGAAGCAAGAGATGGTGTTGGAGATAGTGTTGTTGTCGGTGGTGGTGCTGTTGGCACTGCTCTGGCAGATCTTCAAGAAGCCTGCTGGCTTACCTCCAGGTGAGTAGACCTACATGTCGACAGGCCTACAAGTCGACCTGCCTCCAGGTGAGTAGACCTACATGTCGACAGGCCTACAAGTCGACCTGCCTCCAGAAGAGTACTTCGTAGTCCATGAGGCGCTTAACCAGTGTGGATCTTCGCTATGTAGTACCTTGTCGTGAAGGAGCTCTTGATCTGGGAAACTGGAGCTGTATTTACTCTTTTTATTCGGATTAAGGCAGAGTTTTACATTAAGGTTTTTATTCCTGAATGCCTAATTTAGCAACAGACTTCAGAATTTCATGAAATACCTGCCTGAACTCAAGAGTGACTCAACGAAGCTTTCTTATCTGTGAAGAGTGGCGGTATTCATGGGTGACTCAGTGAACCTATCTTATCCACGTAGAGTTGAGGTACTCAGGGGTGACTCAGCACTACACGGATAAGCCCAGCTTATCCGTGTAGAGTGGCGGAACACTTGGCCATCTTTACTACGAAGACGTTTCGCCCACCAGAAGCTTTATCAACCCACTACCTAGAAGAACAGATCGATAATGCAGCTGGTTGACGAAACATCTTCGTAGCAAGGATACCCATGTATCGCACATGTGTTAGCAAGGATACCCATGTATGGCACATGTGTTAGCAAGGATACCCATGTATCGCACATGTGTTAGCAAGGATACCCATGTATCGCACATGTGTTAGCAAGGATACTCATGTATGGCACATGTGTTAGCAAGGATACCCATGTATCGCACATGTGTTAGCAAGGATACCCATGTATGGCACATGTGTTAGCAAGGATACCTATGTATCGCACATGTGTTAGCAAGGATACCCATGTATCGCACATGTGTTAGCAAGGATACCTATGTATCGCACATGTGTTAGCAAGGATACCCATGTATCGCACATGTGTTAGCAAGGATACCCATGTATCGCACATGTGTTAGCAAGGATACCCATGTATCGCACATGTGTTAGCAAGGATACCCATGTATCGCACATGTGTTAGCAAGGATACCCGTGTATCGCACATGTATTAGCAAGGATACCTATGTATCGCACATGTGTTTTATTCCTCTCCACGTCTGCTTTACAAACCATTAATATAAAATACCATTCTGATAAACCCTGCCGCTTATCTCGGCATATCTCGTCAGATAAGAGTAGTCATTATTCTTTGAATTATTTCCATGCCTGCCTCTTTTTTCCTTCATTTTTCGGCAGAGGAGGAATGGATGTGTATGGGGGAGGGAAGGTGTATGTGGGAGAAGTGTAGCAGTGTGAGCTGTAATAAGTATGAGCTAGATGAGTGAAGGAGCGGAAATGTATGTGAATGGGGCTTGCAAGTGTGTGGAAGCAAGTTTAATGGGTATATTAGCGGTATGGAAGTTGAATGGATTTACGTACGTGTTTAAGCGGTTTATAAGGGAGTTGTGTGTTTTAGAGGTGTGGGAGTGACAAAGGAGCTCTGAGAGTAAGTTGGAGAAAGTGGGAATGAGCTGTGGGAGTGTAGAATGATATGGAGCAGTGTGGGGAGCTAGGGGAGTTTAAGAGTGAGTTCGAGTGGCGTGGAAGTGAGTTAGAGAGGTGTGGGAGTTAGAATTAAGTATTAGAAGTCTGGGCGTGATTAAAAGGTGTGGGAGTTTCCTGTAGGAGTATTTGAAGGGTATAAATAAGCGAAGATGTTAGATGAGCGCAGGAGTAAATTGCAGGGGTTTGGCAGCGAGTTAGAAGGGTATGGGAGCGAGTTTGAGGGGTGTGGGAACCAGTTAGAAGGGTTTGGGAGCGAATCAGAGGGTGGGCTGAGTTAGAGGGGGGAGGGGGTAGTAGTTAGAGGGGTGTGGGAGCGAGTTACATGAAATAGCAGAGTTATGGAACTGTTTATTATCAACCTCAGACGATGAATACAGTGCGGTAATGCGAAATATAAGCAAACGCACGAAATGACCTAAAATTTATTTATTTATTTATCTTTTACACAAACCAGTTTTTCTTTAACTAAGAATGAATCCATACACACTGTGTGGCTGCCCTGATCTCTGTGACATTTTAGGAGGTTCTAGGACGTGCTAATTACATTTATCATCCTGCCATCAGGCAGAATAGTTCACCTCTTCTAATACGTCACACAAGATGGGTTTCCTGTAATACTCCATCATAAAGGATAGTTTTTCTCTCATACTTCCTTCCTCTGGATAGTTTTCTTTTCTTTTCAGGTTCCATTGCAGTAGTTAGTTTTCCAGAGTTCCTTCTGTGGCATGCAAAGAGTACGTTACAATTTATTCGGCGTATGTCACACTCCCATATAGGCTGCCTCCCAAACAGCAAACCGGGTACCAAGGGTTTAACGATTATTAGGGTACCCGTCGTTAAAGCTTTGTGCCATTCTCTCACCGTTGTGTGGTGTACTTACTATTCAATCTCTGTACATAAATGTACATACTTGTATACATCTGGCAAATTATATCTAGTGAAGGAAATACACCCATTACCTGTGTTCGTAATACCTCCATTGTAGAGGATGATTTTTTTCTGTCATAGTCATTCATACTTCAGGATACAGGATGGTATTCTTGTCATATTTTATTAAGCAAGATGGTTTTTTTTGTCATATTCCATCATACAGAATGGTTTTCATGTCATAGCTTTTTTATCATACTCTTATGCAAAGGAGGATAGTTTTCCTGCCACATAGGATGGTTTTCCTGTTACTGTGTATCACACAGGATGGTCTCCTGTCGTACTTGGTCTTGCAGAATGGTCATACTCCTTCACAAATGATAGTTTTCCTGTCATACTCCTTCACACAAGATGGGTTTCATGCGCCAGAAACAAGACAATAAGCATTTTCCTCCATCGAGCCATGCTAGACTGGTGACCTCTAGACTGTGGCAGCCTTTAACAATGATGAGCGTGGACTTACGTGTGCAGCATCAACAAACGCCCCTCCTTCCGCACCCTCGGCAATAAGCTTCATAATTAAAATATCACGACACAGCATTCAGCGGCGCTATTCCCTACACCCACCGCTAACATACTTATTTTTCATGAGTAAGAGAAACACTCGTGCGAAACTTAAGTAGCTTTATTGCCTCAAGGTTTCGCCTGCGCAGAAAGTTTTATCAGCCGGAGACAGTGGTAGTAGCAGTAAGGGAAGATGTGCTTCTGAGATAATCAGTCCCTCAGCCTCTTGAGAGATGGTCAATCTCTTCCTGGCTCTTGTTTTTTTCCCTTCAAGTGATATACACTGATATCGGTGAAGGTCTCTTGATTCAAACAATTGGAGGTACCAACATTTTCTTGGATTAATTGTGATTACTTCCTATTCTTTATGATACCTACGAATTTAGTTTCCTATAACAATAAAATAATGTCAAAGAAATTAAGTAGAGTGAAGAGGGTTGATGTCAAATGTTTGTGATAAGAGAATACAAGCCCCCGAGACGTAAGATTCCATACCCCAAGTGTATGATGCCTGAGTCTATGGTCAGGAGGAAATGGTACCTGTGTTTATACAAGAACTGTGAGAGCGAGGCTTCCTTGGCCGGTAGTATGAGTAGCCACTTCGCAGAGAATCCGAAACGAGTACTGCTGACAATAATTCGGAAAAGTAATCTTGGTACAACTCTACATTGAGCGAAACGTTGTCCCATAAAATCTTATTTTGCAAACATGTTGGATGAGTAAATATCTTTACGTTGGAAAGCTTCCTTGGGTGTTAGGTTTATGGACACAGCTGCAACATTAATGTGACATTTTATTATGGCAACGTTTCGCTCTCCAGAAGCTTGACAAAGTTCGTTGGGTGGTAGAATGCGTAATAGGTTTACGAAGGAAGATTCTTTCATGGCTGGTGAAATGCGTATTAACTTCAGAGGAAGACTCTTGTTTACACTGCCGCTGTTCGCTAACTACGTGCGTGCCGGAGCTGAATCCTAATGAGCAGAACAAGAGTCATTTGAGAATATTTGACTTTTTTTTTTTCAAGCGGACGTTTGCTGACAGGAATCACTGTATAAATTTCGAGAGATGTATATATCTTAGTGTATATACACTATGTATATCTCAGTTTAGATACATCGGGAGGAGTGTATCTCAGCGTATGTATATATATATATATATATATATATATATATATATATATATATATATATATATATATATATATATATATATATATATATATATATATATATATATATATATATATATATATATATATATATATATGTGTGTGTGTGTGTGTGTGTATGTGTGTGTCCGTATATTTCAGTCTATATATGCTGAGATGAGTGCATCTCTCGGTGTGTAAGTATAGAGTTTAGTGTATTCCCTGTTTTAGGAATTAAAATATTTGCCTCCAGATGAATTCTGACCTTAAAAACTCGTGCAATCAATAGGCTTTACAAACTAACTTGAAAAGACAGGATAATTAGTGTAGGCTTCAGTCTAAATAATGTACTTAAATTACAAAAACTCAGATACACAAAGAAATCTTACTATCTCAAAGCAGAAGCCATGGCAATATTTAATTCACACATTTCAGCTGTCCTGAGAATATCTCCGAGAATAAACACACTTCTCTATAGTGTACACAACAAGCGTATTGTTTTTCACATAAGTGGCTTTGGTATCTTAACCCTCCTGCCTGACGTTGCCTTCCCACTTATGTAACTTGTTTATGCTTATATATATATTAAAGCTGAATATTGAAATTAGCACAGTGTAAAAAAAAAATACGTAGTTTGAGCACTTTGCCTCAAGAACATACCTTCCTGCTGCCATCAGTGGCAGTTACGAGTCATCAGCATATTTAATGAGCAGGAAGATACAAATCACTGTCAACAGCAACCATAACTAATTGTAACCTT